TATAAACTACTACAACGGGTAACCGGACAACGAGACACCTAATAAGTTTATAGAGGTGTTCAATATGGGTACAAATACGTGTCTATATAAACTACTACAACGGGTAACCGGACAACGAGACACCTAATAAGTTTATAGAGGTGTTCAATATGGGTACAAATACGTGTCTATATAAACTACTACAACGGATAACCGGACAACAAGACACCTAATAAGTTTATAGAGGTGTTCAAACTTTTAAAACTTCGCAACATACTTATAATGGAGTAGATTAAACTGGTAATGTAGTAGGCTTAGATATATACAGTTCATACAATGGAGTAAAGGACAGGTTTCAATTCATGTGGTCAGTTTTCTAACCATTTACGTTCATGATAGCATGAAAATTAAACCATTTCCTCTTTAATGACGTCATTTATGACCAGATAAATGAGATCCCCGCTGGTCCAACGATAACCAATAGTTTTATATGTTATCCTATAATGAAGTAAATTAAACTGGTATGTATTAGGCCTAGATATATACAGGTATTTCGTATGCTTGTACACAGCGTGGTCACAAGTAAATAGACACCACCTTTTCAGAAAAAAATGCAAATTTTCAGTCATATTCACATGAATTGGTATATTTATAATTTAATTAATATCTAGTAGATCTTCCTTTCGCTTCGTGGAGTTCGTTGATTCTTTAGAGCATTGTGAGAATCATCTCGTCAATTTTAGATCGTGGGATTTTCACCCACTCTTACTTCAAAACTTGGAGTAGATCGCTCTTCGAAGTTTTTTTTTTGTTGTTGTTGTTTCTTGACTTGCCGGTCGAGTATGGCCCAGAGGTTTTCGATGGGGTTCATGTCAGGAGATTGGCTCGGCCAGGGCAACTTCTGGATACAATTTTCTTCCTGCCACTTTTGGATGTTTCTAGAAGTGTGACACGGTGCTTCATCTTCCTGGAACAAAGTTGTGTTCTTGTCCACGAAACCCCGAGGAATAAAGTGGCAAGAGTCCTTCCTCCAATATTTCGACATATTTTGCAAAATTTATGTTGCCAATGCACTCCACTAAGCTCGATCTCCCACCAACCCAAACAGCTCCCCAAACCATCACGCTGAAACCACCATGCTTCACAGTTGGCTGCAATCTGTTGAGCCAAAACTCTTGGTGAGGTATTCTCCAGACCCATATCCTTCCACTGTCCGAAAATTGAGCGAATCTTGATTCGTCTGAGAATAATACAGTCTTCCAAATGTCCAGAGGCTTGGTCATCATATCACTTGCCCACTTCTTTCGTCTGACTATGTTGGCAGGTCTTAATAAGGGCTTCCGTCTAGCTGCTCTGCAGCGATAACCCAATCTGTGGAGAATCCGTTGATCAGATTTCGGGCTCATCCCACCAACTTTGGCCACTTCTGCTGTCGTTAATCTGGGATCCATTTCGATGCTCCTCTTGACAGTTCTTTTTGTCCTGTCGAAAGAGGGATTCCCAAATTCTGCGAAATTTGCCGCTGACTTATTCCACCATCTGCTTGACCAACTCTCCTTCCTCTAACAAAATCTGACAATTCGAGAGAACCTTGAGTTCTAGGCATGTTGTAGCACAAGATAATTAGCATGCGGACCATTTTCATTTATATAGTGCTTTGTGAACACAAATTAGTTAGCATAAATCAGTTAAATGACGAAAAATTAGGTGGTCTATTTACTTGTGACCACTCAGTGTAGATGAAAAAGATGTTTCTTAACATCTGAGTTCTTTAGGTCACAGATATATATGTGTGTGGCTCCTAATGAAAAGTATACATCTTGTAGTCATCCTTCATCGGGTTAAAAAAATGTTTATAATCTGAGTTCTTTAAGTCACAGATTTGTTTGTGGCTCCTAATGAAATGTATACATCTTGCAATCAGCTTTCAACGTGTTAAAAATATATTTCTTACTCTCTGACTTTAAATCACAGATATTAATGTGTGTGGCTTCTAACAAAATGTATATGCCTTTTCAGCATTATACATCAGGTTAATATTATATGAGTTTTAATTTCTTAACTTTAAAAGATATATTTATATAAATTCTCAGTTTTCACTTTTATGTATCATGTAATAAATCTTTTGCTCTGATTTACCCATTTTAGAATTTTTTTCCATTTAAGTTTCTGAGCACTTGCAGACCTATATGAGCTAAAATTAAAATTTATAGCATCTATTCTTAATGTTATAATGAATTATATTCCATAAACTGAAACTTGCCTATCATACTCATCCTAAAACAGGCTGAATAATTTTCTCTGCCATTTGCTGTTGGATTATTTACAACCAGTAGAAAAAGATTTTAATTTAGTGCTTTCTTTATGATGTTAGACCATTATTACAGTCAGTTTTGAGTTATTCTGCATCAATTTTTTAGTTTGCTATCACCCAGATTGCCTCAACCAAGTAAAAATAATATTTTATGCACATATAGTATAGTCAGAAAGCCAGCTAAATTATAATAATTTTAGGACTTTTTTTTTGTGTGTTAATATTTTGTGTTCTATGTTATATATATATTCAAAATAGATAAAAATTATATACAAAATTTCTTGTTTTTAACTATATTTTTTACTTATTGTTATAAAAGTAACTAAAATGCAACAAAATTTTCATGTTAGATAAGAAAAATTAAATGAAAGAAACTGAATAAAAAAATCGCACAGGCACATCTCAGAATATTGCATGTTGTAATTTGTGCTGGTTACTAGATGCTGTGTTTACGCAAAGCTTCCTCACAGTGATAATTCAGTTTGGAGCTAATCTTAAGTGGCAGGAAAGCAATAAATCTTAATGACCAGGAGATTTGAATTGTACGAGGTTTGAATTTAAGAATAAATAGTGTGTAGTTATCTGTAACAATGTGCAATCGTTCTAGAAAGAAAAAGTGTAATTTAGATGTATTTCATATCTTTTTCTTTTTTTTGTGGTGGTTACATGGTCGGTCAAATTGACCAAACCAGTGTTAAGTCAGAGAAAATAACAGATAAAATATGGTGTTCTATTGTAAACAAAATTGGTATTCATTTGGGAAGTTCTAAAAGTTATGCAAATAAAATTTGGAAACTATAAAGTGAAAAAAAAAGTATTTTTGATTTTAGCATGAAATTCACCTTGCCCTCAGACTAGTCAGACTAACTCCATAAATTCACAGACAAATGCTTAATTAAAAAGTTTGTTTTTTTTGTGTACAAACATCTAATGTTTACTAAAAGTTTATAAACTTTCATAAAGATACACACACTACATCAAAAGTTATAGTTTATATATTTGCATGGTTACGTGGTGGTTGCAAGGTGACCAAACCTGTACAGAGAGGGTTAAATAATATTCATACATTAAACTTTTCATTGGTAGTTGATGATCATTGATGGTGAAGAACTGAAAGCTGATCCTGTAGCAGTTATGAACAAATTTCAACAATTTCTAAAGATTACTCCATTTGTTGACTTTACAAATCACCTGAGGTATGTTAGAATGATATTATTAACTATGTATTTCTTTCATATGTTTAGTATTGCTGAAAATGGTATTATCTTGACACTCTTGTGTGTGTTCTCTCAGTACAGTTGTATTCTATTTTGATTGAAATGTAGAATGTATTAATCTATGGATGACATGAAAGGAAGTGTGACAGGCTATGTAATATGTAAAATTAAAAAATACAGGGACATTCACAAGTACTGTGTATTGCTACAGTTCACTGCTCTGTTTGTACTTCTGTATGAAACTTGACTTTTGAATAACCCTGTATATTTTGAATAAAAACACTAAATTATTTATCAAGCAAATATACCTGAAACAGAAAGTAGCCTACAACTTTTTGTAACATATTGACTTTAAAATTATCATTGACTTTTCTTACTTTGAAGAGTGTTAAAATGCCTAATGTGGTGAAGCGTGAAAATCTTTTAACCATCATTGCAACTGCAGAAATGGAGAGTTAATTGCACTTTATAAGAACTAGTTAAATTTGCTAATGCAATGCCATATAGCTGTAAATGTGAACCATGATACCATGGGTGGCATGTTTTGCATCTGTAAATTTGAAAATGCAATGCTACTATGGATAGCCATATAATGGATGGTTGTATATAGTTCTTATTGGAAAAGGATATTCATATAATGGGATAGTGAAATAATGTAAAGCCAAAGAGAACAATACTTCAAGTTTTCAGTGTTCATCATGAGAGTAGAAAAACAAATGCATTGGAGTGAGACCACATTCAAGCGGATTCAATGCAATGCCCTCATCTGAAAAGTGAAGGCTACCTCTATGAAAGAAAACCCTTCAGTTTAAGAAACCATTGAATTGAAGCTAGGCATATCTCCCTATTCTGCTAATGAGATTTTTAATTGACAAAGGAAGATTTTCAAGCGAAAGGTTCATATCTCAAAACCAATATTTGATTTCATGAGCAAAAATTGGTGAAGAAACTGCAATCACCTTCACATCCTCTGCTACAGTTCCACTGGAACTTTTTGCTCTTTGTCAGTTGGAATGTGGTCTTGGAAACCTACTACCATATACATAAACTTGTTACAATAGAGATTGCAGTGTTTGGCAGTAGTATGTGATGATGACCATCAGATTAAGTACAATTGACAATAAAGAAAGTAATTTCATTGGCAGAATATGACTCAGATCTTTGTTCTTAGAAATAGTGATTAACTCTCAATATAAGAGATTAATTTCTGGTTATAAACCACTTTGGGAACATTTAGCTTGCTAAGAATAGTGTTGTTAGAAGTAGCCTTATGTGAAGTTTTGTTTCATTGTAGAGTGTAAAACATGTAAACACACAGTTTATAACTAACCTTATTTCAGATTCATGAGCTTGTGTTGTGCAAGGTTTCATTTTTCAGAAATTGGTAGAATAATACTAAATCCATAAATGTATTTTTGAGGTATATTTCTTAAGATACAGGTCATGTGGCAATGTGAGGTGAAACTTATGACCACACAACATAGATGTATGTATAAGCATTATTCACCTTATTTATCATTACACAAAAAAATTTATTTTCCCATCCTTTCAATTTCACTAAATGGGAATTTAGAGGTGTGTGTGTGTATATATGATCAACTCCCATGATCAACAAACAATCGACAGGAACAGCACGCATGCTGCTACTTCTTGGCGCGAAACCCCCAAGCCACAATACAACACTTCACCAATTAACGCCTCCCACGAGCTAGATACCACCACCTGCTTACCCATACCTATAAATATCCATCAACAGTAATCACAATTCACACAACATTCAGCCTTGATAATGGATGCAGAATGCATTCGAAACGCGTTGGCCAACTCATCACTAGCTACAACTTTTATCCGTTGTTCTAACAACATTAAGACGGCTTATCGACTTCTTGAGAAGAATTCGAAGAAGAAAGTAAACCTACAGACATCGGTCTTGTTTAACAAAATCTGCACATATATATATATATATATGTGTTTGTGTAAATTTCCATCATATCCAGATTTTTCTTTAGATGTTGTTGGCACTTTAGGAGGCTTCTGGTCAAATGGTTGAGTGGTTTTGTAAGATTTTTGACAACTTTCATCCTAATATTCAGTTTCTTAGTGAAAATGAAAGGATGGGAAAATTAATTTTTAATGTCATAATATATAAGGTGGATAATGCTTTCAAAACAAAAAAAGTGTTTAATGATTTATTTTTACTGTAACAAAATTAAAACTTCACCTATTCAGATAAGTAGGGGTTATAGAATTGAATGATAGGGTGCAGAAGTTTTTTGGATGCAACATTTTAAACACACAAAGCATCAAAATTAAGAATAAAATTATGATTTTTGAAATTAACTTGGTTTATTGAAAAATAAAGAAAGCAATTTTAATAAAACAATAGAAAGTATTAGTGAACAACATGAAAGACAATGTGATGTGAACTATAATGCGACCACTTAGTGTATATATAAACATGTTGTATGATTGTCAGTTACACCTTGATGATGTCATGTGATCTGTAGCAGAATCCTGCTTTTAGCTGGTATATGTTCTAAGAAAAATTCTAAATCCAACATATACGTCAAACATTTGACAAGCGTGAAGAAATGTGCTGAATTTTTAATTGTGACTTTCGTGCAAAGAGCATATACTGTATCTTGACATTATGCTTATTTATATTTAACTTGATTACACTGAACTACCTTTTGTTGATGTTCACATCCTAAAATGAGTATTAATGGTTTTCCTCCAGGTACGATCCCCAGAAGGGTTTTTACTGTCAGGTTACACAACAGAATTCTACAAAATGTCTTGGTCGAAACAAGGGGAGACACTATCCACCAATTGACCTGTTAGCACAGAAGTTTTTGAAAATTTTCTACTTGTCTTCTAACATTGCCTTGTCTAAACTTCTGACCCGTCTGAGACTTCCTATTCCACAGTGGCTTGAAGATGATCTGTCATGATGTTAGATATTAAGTGGTTTTCAAAAAATACATCAAAGCCTTCTTGAAATAGACACTTCAGTATTAAATATAAGTTTGAAGGTAGAAGGAAGATTGCTTATATATATAGGTAGTGTGTGCTGCCAACATCTTTTATCTTAGTACTAGTCTTTCAGTGGAGAGTGGCTGTGACCACAATATACCTATAAACACATGGACATCTGCTCCTTCTGTTATTTGGTTAAGTTTTATCAGAATGAAATATAACCCACACTTAGAATAATACAGAGACGAGAAAAGGGAGAACCCTACTTTCAGTGTCGGTATTTGGCTTGCATTGTTCTTCTAAATGTTTTATACTTTCAAGGAGTTGGAGATCTGCTAACATCTTCAAAGACAAGCTAAATCGTACCTAAGTTACAGGAAGAGGATTTGAGTTTTTAAATATATTTATTTGACTGAAAGTTTTACAGAAAATAAGACTGGAGTTGCTTGAGAAAGGTAACTCTATATTATCTTTGGGAAAATGTTTTAGTATTTCTCTCCCATCCTATATTTCTGGTATTTACCGAGACTTCCAGGGGCTGAAAAGGCTTCACTATATTCTTAGAAAGCATACGTTAATGAAAAAACAAGCTATTGTATATAGTATACACATGTATAATGTATAACAGAACAAAAAAATGGATTGCTGGTAGTTCATAGACTTAAAAGGTATAGTGAACTGAGAAGAATGGTCAAAAGGAACACGTGTGGGTGTACACTTTGTTGTAAAAGTATATACTGTAGAAATAAAAACACCAATCTCATTCATCATATAGGGTAGATTACTGGAAGATGAGTATGTTTTGTGGTAAGTCTATTATAACAGCACATCACCTTTATGTGATAAGATTGGTGGATGGGAAGTGATGGATGAAGAGGTTGTAGTAATTACATACAGACTTCATCAGAAAGAATATTTATATGAATAATAATGCTCAAATATTAACATATAACTAGTTCTGGTTGTAGAGTTTCAATTGTATTAATAACAGCAGACTTATGTAAGTACTGTTTCTGTAAGGTAATTGTTAAGTTGTAATTGAAACATACCAGTCAGATGTAAGTACTGTTTCTGTAAGGTAATTGTTAAGTTGCAATTGAAACATACCAGTCAGATGTAAGTACTGTTTCTGTAAGGTAATTGTTAAGTTGCAATTGAAACATACCAGTCAGATGTAAGTACTGTTTCTGTAAGGTAATTGTTAAGTTGTAATTGAAACATACCAGTCAGATGTAAGTACTGTTTCTGTAAGGTAATTGTTAAGTTGCAATTGAAACATACCAGTCAGATGTAAGTACTGTTTCTGTAAGGTAATTGTTAAGTTGTAATTGAAACATACCAGTCATATGTAAGTCACTTTTATGAATTATCAATACTTGCATCCAATATGGTTAATAGTAAAATCACCAAAACCGACTTCTGTTGTTATTTCACTGATATTCATTGTCATCATGTTAGTTATTATTAATGTATGTGTTATTATTATAGCAAAAACACAATAAAAGCTTAATAACACTTTTATCATATCCACTTGTTTGAAAGCATTAGGGTTATTATTTTTTTTAACGTAAATTATACATAACGATATTGTGGTGGTTTTAATGTGTTTATTACACCAGTCAGCTGACATCATTTTAATATGTCTTATCTAATCAGATTTATTTAAAAAAAAAGAACTTTAGACCATTTTTGACATTTTGTTTGTTCTTGCATTTATAAGCAAATTTGTAACTGTAAGAATAAAACAAGAAACATAGTATACATTCACACAGTCATAACTGTATCCAAGGTTTGTGTCAAGGTAATAGAAAATGTTTTGTAGCATGGTGATTTGTTGAGAGCAATAGAAATTTTTAAATATATTTTCAGATATGTAAACAGAATAGTTGAATAACATTTATCATTTTTTCCTGACTATTTTTTATCCTAACTTTATTTTGCGCAATGAAATTAGTGGTACCACAGTAGTGTTAAAATGTTTAAACAATAACTACAAGATAAAAAAAACAATAACTTCCTTGGAAGCATTGGACATAATAAATAAGGAAGTTTTATAATTTAAATAATAGTTTTTTTTTGTTTTGTTTTTTTTAAGTAATAAGCACTTGTAAGTTTAATAATATTATAGCCTAACCTGAAAACTTAGAAATGAAAGAGTTAAAGTTTTGGTTGGGACCAGGAACGTACTGTGATTTAGGATCAGTCTTGGAAAATGTAAGAGTCTTAATTTTTCATCATATTGTTTTCCTTTTTAATCTTGCATAAAATCATAGACTCTGAGAGGTAGGGGGTTATATAAATGTAATATAAACATTGTGTGACATTGTTTTTTGCCCTAACAAACAAACACTGAGAAAATTGGTTTGAAGAAGGAAAAAAATATCAGTAAATATTTTTGTCATATTTTTTTATACCATCCCAATTTTTAAAAACAGCAGCTACATTACAGTAATTTTGAAGTAGTTTACCAACAAAATGTATGTTAGGTTATGCAGTAATGTAGCTTGTGTAACAAAACATGCATGTTTTTAAGCATGCAGTATTTTCAAATAGTGTTGATGATTATTAAACAATTGCTGTAATCTGGGTTTTTATTTCTTAGCTTAGTTGGTAATATTAATTATTATTGTGTTGATTCTATTTTATACTTGACATTTATAATTCCATACATCAGACACACGAGATGTCTTCATAGTTGCTACTGTCCTAGAACATAATTAATTTTTAATTTATATAGTTCATTTTAAAATGTCTTATTTTATTGTTGTTGTTTTTTTCAACAACATAAAATGGTACATACATTACTGTAAGGTATTATTTTTTTTAATGCAAATAGTGTAAGACATTCCAGTTACAAAAACTAAAACAGTCACTGCCACAAGCTAAATACAGTAGTTTCAATGTAGGGAAACTATACAAAGGATTTAGTATCTGGGAGAATGCTCTTACAGCAATAAGTAATAGCAAGGTTCACTGGATTTATCAAGATGTAATAACTGAATTAAGTAACCTTCCTTGTGTACTTTCCCCATTTTAAAAGATTTATTTCTTAAACATATATATTAATGAATCATTGGGAGTTGTATTGCCCAATAAGTTCAAAGGAATTGATATGTATTGCCATAAGACATCACGACAGCTTGTGAGAACTAGTTATGGTAGTAACTTCACCAGTGTATTTCATTTAGATATAATAGATAGATCACTGCTGACAAGAAAAATGTGCTGAGCCAAACATATGAAGTTACCACATTAGGGTAAAAGTAACTTTTAACTATGTTATTGTTTGTTGTTTTTTTTTTAAATGGATTGCCCAGTATCTTAAATATCCTATACCTGTGGTTCTTTGAAAAAATTGAACAAATATTACATTGTTTTAACATTCAATATGATCAGCTGTGTTCTTATAGATCTTCAAATAGTTACACAACAATGTTAGTATTGTGCACTACAGAAAGCAAGATGTGTGTGTGTGTGTTTTTATAATCTCTTAAGAATTAATTCTATGGAAAATGTGTTTATTATGTTCAAGGCATATTGGAAAGCAAGTTGTACATTGTAGGAGAATAACATGTGAAGCAGGGTATGTGCAAGTTTTCAATAAGATGTTATGGGAAAACCTGTACGTGTTATTTAAGTAATTTTATAGAAACTAACTGAAGTTTGTTCTTGTACATTATAGTTGTTGCTGAGCATATAAAGAAATTTGTGTATAAAAATTATTAAGAAATAATTCCTGTGTTGCTGCTTTCTGTGAAAGCTAGAAAGGTTATTGATAGTGTCATGAAATGTTTTGAGTAAGTTATATCTGCTCATAGGTGTAGCTAGAGTTGAATAGGAACGTTAATACACACTAGAGACAAATGTCATTTATTTTACAATAGAGACTGGTAGTTTACATTTCAGGGACTTAGTAATTGTTAGATTGTCTGAAAGAACTGGTAACTGAGGTCACTGCTAGTTTATATGGTCATTGATAACTTGGTCAACATTTAAGACAGACTAATAGCCTGCATGTATTCAAGGTCTGTGAAGCTGTTATTGTAGATTTCAGGTTCCTACCAATATTTTGAAGAACGAACAGATTATCTTCTTAGAATCATGCAGGTAACTTAGGGTTAATAAAATCTGTAATTATATAAAACTGGCTTTGCTTTTTCTCTTTCCTTGTTTCATATAGCAATAGTAAAATTTGTATTTTCATTCAGAATATCTGGGATTACTTGTACGTTTAAATTTGTCTTAAACAGCATCGGATATAGTTTCCTTTCCCAAGTTACGAGTCTTGAGGTAATTAAACCTATAATCTATGTATACAGAGCAATTCTGAAACACCAGAAAGTTTACATTATGCATCCTGGCAGCTGGTTAATATGGTGTCTCTAGGCATTATTGGTACTGTTCATGTTTTATGTTTTTCGTTTAAATTAATTAGCAAAACAGAGAGAGAAGTTCAACATCTATTTCAAGAGTCTTTTTAATAGGAATTAATCTTATGTATAGATAGAGGAGTTGAAGCCTTTCTTTGCACCACCGTTACTCTTGTCAATGGTAAAAATATTCATGAAAAAAGATTAATTTTTAATGGTTTCAGTTTTGTGTTAGGCTGTTTTGTTACAATTATTCATATACTTAGTGTTTTGGATTATTAGTGATGAGTAAAAGACTTTGTCTAATTATACAGATGTAGTTTGAAAGGTCCTCGCAGATTTAATATACTTGTATTTTGTGCACTTTTAAAGTATGATTATATGGTTTATAATGGAAGTTGTGAACTACATTAGATCCATGTAAAGAACAAAGTACTAAACTGTGCTTAGTTTTACTAAACATTATCCAAATTTGCTTATTACTATTTCATGTGGAAATTTTAAATGTTGCAAGCCAAAAGTATTATAAATAATAAATATATTTTTGGGTATAAATGTTTTAAGCCAAGATAATTACTGCTTAATTTTGGAAAAAATATTTGACTTACAGGTACGAGAACAAAAGATGTGGATTAAAAAGGTGCATGTGTTTTTGTTTATGTGATACCATTCCATATAGATGAATTAAAAATACAGCTAATACATTTGTTTGCATTAATATTAATCTTGTCATATTTAAAGCACTAATTTTACATGTGTTTGTACTAGAAGAAATGGAAGAAAACTGAAGCCTTTCTGAAAACCTCAAATAAGAATAATGTACTGTACCATATATATTGTGTAATTGTTATTTTAGCTGGCTCTGGTACGTAGAACTGATTCAGGAATTATAAAGACTGCAGGAGTTGGTAAGAAGCTAAGAAATTGCATTATGTTAAATATGTACATGTAAACAAGTGAAATGAATGAATTCAAATGTCATTTTGTTATTAGATGAGACATGTACGATATGGAAAAAAACAATAAAAAAGTGTGTGACAGATTTGAGATACTTTATTATAAGGGTTGTATGGTGCACATTACATATGAGTATTCACGAATCATTAGCTTACATTACAGAATTGTTTGACAGTAATTTGAGCAATAGCTGTGTTCAGAGGAAAACAGAGTTTCACAATAAAAAGGATAACGACACTTAAGATAAACAACATTATATTATAACACAAGGGGACACAGATAAACGTTTCAGAATTCAACAGATTCCATCTTCAGTATCTAAAGCAATTATTTTGTTTATCTGTGTCCCCTTGTGTTATAAATAATGTTTATGTTAAGTATCATTATCCTCTTTCTAATTATACTTGCATAGTGGATCTAAATTCATCTTTGGAAATTATCCAAGCTCTTTTATTTATTCTCTAAATATTTAGCCTGATTGAGTTTTATATCTACATTTACTTTATCAATGAATTTGCATTCTGCTTTCCACATACCTCACCCTTTACTTTAATTACTCTAGTATTATATTTCTTTCAATCCTGACCTATTCTGTTATTTCCAAATACTTTTTTATTCTTCAATCTAATCATTTCTTTTAATACTGGTGGTTTGAATTCCATTTCAGCAGTGGAAGTGTTATAATAGTCAATCCCACTAATTGTTGGTACATAGTAACCGAAGAGTTGAGAGTAGGTGGTGTTGAATAGCTAGTGTACCCTTTGTAAATTAGGGATGATTAGTGCAGATACCTCTCGAGTAACTCTATGCAGAAACTTCAAGTACTGTACTTATATAAAACAAAGCCCATTATGATACATGCAGGGGTATTTATTGGACATAGCTATATCACTCCTCCCTGTTAAAAATACAAAATATGTTTTACATTTTTCATCAGTTTCTGTAAAGAAGGTAGCTAATAAAAAATATATGGTTAATAACTTCCTATCACCAGTTTTATAGAAATGTATATGATTTTTATCATCAATCTAAATCACATGGAAGAAAAACTTACACCTCACAGTTAAAGAATGATCTCTTTATTTTGCAAATAAACAGCTTCAAACACTTCAAGTAAACCTGTTTAACCAAACAAACATCTATTATGTCCTTGTTACAATTTAGCACTAATGTTTTTTAGTGCTCTCCTACTGTTCATTACTTTTTTCTTAACTTGTTAAAACGAAAATTTTTCAAATTTAAGTGTTTGCTAAGAACATTCATTCTTAAAAATATACTAGGCAAAAAGGCCCATTTTTTATTATAAAAAATATATATATGTACGTATAATTCCTACAGAAAAAAAAAAGTGTAAAGAAATTTAAATCATCAATCAATCTATTTAGAATTACAAAATATGTAACAACACTTTTTTTAATCAGTGTAAAATGAAAAATATTGAACTTAAGTCATGAAACCTGTGTAAAATATGGTTGAAGGGTTTTCAGTTTTGTTTTGAATGATTCTTAGAAAACAAAAAATTTACAAAATGATACAAAAGAAAAAAGTTTCCCTTCCCATAGGTGCATATACTTTGCAAGGTTCAATGTTATATATTTTACTCAACAGTCACAGATTTTGCCAAGTTTCTAGGGCAGTCAACCTATGAAAGAAGGAAAAAGCATTTTCAATTAAGGATATGTAGATCAAGTTATACAAAAAAATAAACTTGTATAACACAATTTGGCTAATTTTTAAAGGCTATATATATATATATATTTTATTTATTTATTAGCTGGTTAGAAAAAGATTACAAAGAACAAAAACAAGTAAGATGAACCAAGCTTTTAGCTATTTTATTCCAACAGAAATAGTAAAATAAAGGGAACAATACACTTGAATAACAATAAAAGTAGCAAAACACCTACTATTAATGTCCATAGATGACACTAGTAGATAACCAGCTTAAATCTCTATATACCCTCCGATATAACTAGTGACAAGTTACAATTCATACTTGGACAAAGCAAGCAGCAGTAGCTTTAAATGTCAATCTAGGAAATATACTATACTCAAACTGAAAATAAAGAATCCTGATGTTCAGCAAACTAAGATATGCTACTTAAAATATACTATTATAATAACATATAAAAAGGTTTAACAAAATTATATCATTCCTTCCCAAATCTTAGGAGATCACAGAATTATTAAATACAAGTTACTGGGAAATGGCAGGAGGAGCTTAAGCTTTTACATGCAAAGGATACATCAGCTAACAATGACTTTAAGGAAGTTAGAAAGAGTACTGTTAGGGCTAAAAGTGGTGAATTCGGTTATAATGACCTATTCTGTTGAGCAACAAATTTCAGCCCTTGGCTTCTGCAGATGGGTAACCATTGGAGGGAAGAAAAAACAAAAGGGTCAGAGAAGGATGTGGATGATAAGGAGGTTAAAGTTATAGGTGATTCCTTGATAAGGCATGTGGATAGAATAGTTTGTGTGGTAAATAGGGAGAAAAGAATCAGATTATGCTAGCCAGGGGCACAGGTGGAGGATATAACTGACAGAGCAAGATATTATAACAAAGGGAGCTAGCAGAGATGCAGTTTTTGTAGTGTGTGTAGGGGCTAATGATGTAGGGAAAGGTAGGTCAGTGGAGCTAATTAGTAAGTATAAGGGGTTGATAAAGGCTCTTAAAGAAAGTAGCCATAACTTAATTTTGTCAGGGATACTGCCCAGAATTAACTGTGGGGATGAAGT